AAGGCGAGGTATAAATCGAGCATGTACCGCTGCCGTGCCTGGCTCAAGCCGGGCCCGGCATGATATGTGACTGTGCCTCACCGAGGCGCACTACTTGCATCTGAGATCGGAAAACATCCTTTCCATTGACGATGCCCATCTTACTCTTTACTCCAGATCCCATGCTTCGTCTCGCTCTCTTGCTCATGCGATATGAGCCAAAGCCTGGGATATGGGAGCGCCTAAGGCGGACTACATACCTAAGCTTACCAGCCTGTTTTCGACTGACATGGCCTTCCAAGGACCTCGCATCTTTGTCGTGCAGCCTTACTATACGGGTTGACTGTAGATTAGCGTTGCTTTGAGAGAGTCACTGGCTTTCGCCACACCGCCAACCCCTTGGGGGCCCCTGATGTTCCTCGTCGTGGGCTCGTCGTCGCAGAAGCCTGCTGGCGCTGTGCGGCCACTTCGAAACTTCAAGAGCGCGTCGGCGCCCGAGACATCCTCCAGACCCGCTGGCGCTAAGTGGCTTCCTATTGAACCCACAAAGGTTTTAATGACCCCTTCCTAAGAATAGGAACCTTTTTCCGCGGGCTTACTGACGGATTGGGGCCGAAAGCAATATTGGGAAAGCAATTCGTCTCCCGCGGCGGCAATTACTGGGCTTCCCATGGGCTCCTAAGAGTCCTAGGAGTCCCTTCCCCCTGGTTACAGTGGAGACCCATGCCAATAAACCCCCTTCTTGCCTCCAGGGTTCCCTGGGTGTCTTGGGTTTCGATGGCTCTGCTATGGAACGCGTGGCGCTCCCACATCGAAAACCAACCGACGTCCTGGGGCCTCGGGGTTGGGTGTCTTGTGGACGGCTCATTGTGGTCGAGTTCCTACAGTCTCCTAATCCGAGTTCGTCCTCGTCCTGCCCTCGGGGGCGGCAAAGAGGGGGGTGATGACTAGGGGGGGGGATATCATGGCGGGGGCCATGATATTTCCACAGATCTCATGGCGCATCTTCTTATTTCATTACGTCCCTGGCCCCCCCGCTGGGCCGCGCACATGCCGCCGGCCATGATTTGCACCCCCCCTCTTGGATACCCCCCTCTTGGCCGCTCCCGATGCCCGCCTTCGTCTCACCTCCCCGCGGCCGTGGGCCGCCAGCCCGTGCGAGGCCCTCCTGCGGAGGCCCACGGACGCTGTGGGGCGGGCGGGCCGTCAGTGGCGGACCTCGCTCGGGCTCGGAGAGGAGCATCCGGCGGCGCGCACGGAGAGCATCCCGGGGGGCAGTAGGGGGCGGGGGGGCGGAGGCCTTCTGAGGATCGGGCCGGACGACAGGGGAGGACAGGGACAGTCGGGCGGGTGGCCACGGGGCGTGTTTTCAGTGGGGGGAGAGAGGAGAGAGGGCCCCTTGGGGAGCCAGCAGGGGCCTGCAAGGGGCCCCCAGAGCAGCGGACAAGCCTGCGGGTGAAAGTGTGCCGTGGGCGGCGGGAACGCTCGCGCTCGGTAAAAGCGCACGGCTGCAACCCGCGCCGTGCGCGGCTGGAAACGCTGGCGCCAGGTGAAGTGGCACGGCTGGAACCCGTGCCGTGCGCGGCAGGAACGCTCACGCTCAGTAAAAGTGCATGGCGTGGAATCCACGCCGCGTGCGGCTAGAGCGCTCGCGCTCGCTAAAAATCCATGGCTGGAACCCACGCTGCGTGCGGCTGTAACGCTCGCGCTGGGTAAAGCTGCATGGCTGGAGCCCTCGGCGTGGGCGACTGGAACGCTCTCGCTGAGCTGAAGCCCATGCCGACGGCTGCTGAAACATTCGCGCTGCTGGAACCGACACAGTGCGCGGCTGGAACACTTTCCCTTATAGATTTGAGGACTGGAACCACCCCTTCTTGTCTGCATTGGCGGCTGGACCACTTTCCCTCGTAAATTGAGCTCTGGAACCTCACCTGTGGGCGGCTGGAACATATTCCCCAGTGAAAATTCAGGGCTGGAGCCACTCCTTCTTGTGGGCATGGGCGGCTAGAATTATTTCCATCGTAAAAGTTGAAGGCTGGAGCCCCACCCCGTCTGAGGTTTTCAACCATGAATAAGTCGGGGGGAGGGGGCCAATCTGGGTCAGTCCGCGCGCTTGTCTGTCGGTAAATCGGTCCATCGGTCGTCGTCGTCGATTGTCGTCGTCTCGGTCCGTCGGTCAGTCGGTCCGTCGGTGGGCATCGGTCGTCGTTTTGGTCGGTCGGTCGGTCGATCGGTCGTCGTCGGTCGTCGTCGTTCCAGTCGGTCGGTCGGTCCGGTCGTTCGGTCCGGTCGGTCGGTTGTCGTCAGTCGTTGTTGTCGGTCGTCGTCGTCGTCGTCTCGGTCGTCGATCGTCGGTCCACAGCCGGAATTCGCTCACGCCATGGCGCGCTCTGAAAGCGTCTCACTGGAGCCAACACTGCTACGGATGCAACGAGGTTGAGAACAAGACGTTGCACCCAGAGTCTGCCCGATATGATATGCTTATTGACATTTCACTACCAACAATAGTCCGTTGACTGTAGGGGCCTCTTCTCCACCCCCCAAGCATGTCACCCCCCATAACCACCCGCCCGGGCAGGGAAAGGGGGGATTACGGATTTTGCTGCACGCAGCTGGCTTCGGCCCCGCCGCCAGGCCCATTTCTTGATACATGGGCGCCTGCTGGTGCCAGGAGGCGCTAGGGTAGCCAGCTGCATAAGCCGATTCTCTGCCCTCCTCTGGGTTTCTTAAAAGGCGTGTGGGGGGGTACCTCCCCGACAGAGGTCGAACCTCGCCTCGTCGTCGCGCCGCGACGGGGGTCGGAGCGCCTCTGGCGCGCGGTGGCTGCCCGCGACGAGGGTCGATGTGGGGCTGTCGGCGGGGCTGACGCCCCCCCCACGCTTATTAAGAAACTCGGAGTAGCCTTCCTGCTATCCAGGGAGGAACAACCACCCGGACCAGACAAGTGGCGTTTACTAAACGGCCCTGGGCGTTTGCGACCCAGCCCTGCCCTGTTCGTTTTCTTATTTGGGCGCGCTTGCTAAACGACTTCGCATGTCGGGGTGGTTAGTATGGGAGTGGATTCTTGATTTCTAGGCTGTCTTACCCCGAAAGGAGGCCCATGGCCCTTGGGACCGCGTGGGGGTGACGGTCTGTCAGAGCTCGGCTCCGTCCGAGAAGCAGGCTGCCTCCAGAGAGGGCCGCCCGCCTCTGCCAAGACCGCTCTCGCGCGCGGCCGGCCCCCCTCGCGGGGGTGGGTGGGCAGGGAAGAAGGACGGGAAGGAGGGCGAGGAGGGACAAGCAGGGAGAGTCTGAAGAGGGGAGGGCGAGAGTGATGTAATATGGGTGATGCTGCTACTCATGCTGCTGCTACTAGCGATGATTATGTTGTTGATGATGATAATGATGATGATGATGATGATGATGATGATGATGATGATGATGATGATGGTGCTGCTGCTGTTGATGATGACGATGGTGGTGGTGCTGCTGCTGCCGATGATGATGCTCATGATGATGATGATGATGATGATGATGATGATGATGATGATGATGCTGCTGCTGATGATGATGGGGATCATGAAGTGGGCGATAGTGATGATCGTGATTCCGCAGATGATGATGATGCTGATGACGGTGATGCTGATCATGATGATAATGAGGATAGCGGCGATGATGATGAGGATGATGTGGATGAGGATGATAAGGATGATGATGGTGGTGATGATGATGACGATGACCATGATGCTAATGATGATGGTGGTGGTGATGATGATGAGGATGATGATTCTGATCCCAATGATGATGGTGAGCATGAGGCGGTTGATGATGATGATGATGATGATGATGCTGATAGTGATGCTGAGATGGATGATGATGATGCTGATGATGATGATAATGCTGATGCTGATGAAGATGAGGATGATGGCGAGGATGAAGATGAGGATGACGATGATGATGATGATGAGGATGATGACGATGATGATGATGACGATGATGATGGTGATGATGATGATGATGATGCTGACGATGATGATGATGATGATGATGATGATGATGATGATGATGATGATGATGACGATGATGATGATGACGATGATGATGGTGGTGATGGTGATGGTGGTGGTGAAGATGATGATGCTGATGATCATGATGCTGATGTCGATGATGATTATGCTGCTGATGATGATGATGATGATGATGATGATGATGATGATGATGATGATGATGATGATGATGATGATGATGCAGATGCTGATGATGCTGCTGATGATGATGATGGGGTTGAGGAGGATCAGGAGAGGGAGGATGACGACGATTCTGATGATGCTGCTGATGGGGATACTGATCAGCATGGTGGTGATGATGAGGATGGTTATGATGCTGATGATGATTTTGCTAATGCTGATGATGAATATGCTCATACTGACGATGATTACCACGCTGCTGAGGATGAGTCTGTTGATGTTGATGATACTGATGCTGATGATGGCGACGATATGATGGACTCTATTGATGCTGATGCTGATGACGGTGATGGTGATTGTGATGGTGATGATGACAACGACGACGACGATGACGATGCTGCTGATGATGATGATGTTGATGTTGATGCTGATGATGATAACGATGATGATGATGCTGACGACGACGACGATAACGATGATGATGGTTGTGATGCTGATGCTGCTGCTGATGCTGAGGATGATGATGCTGCTGATGATGATGATGATGATGATGATGATGATGGTGGTGGTGGTGGTGGTGGTGATGATGATTATGATGATGATGATGATGATGATGATGATGATGAGGTGATGATCATGATGATGATGATGTTGAGGAGGAGGAGGAGGAGGAGGAGGATGAGGTGGAGGAGGAGGAGGAGGAGCAGGATGAGGAGGACGAGGGATGGGGGGTAGGGAGGTAGGGAGGAAGAGACAGAGGAGGAGGAGGAGGAGGAGGAGGAGGAGGAGGAGGAGGAGGAGGAGGAGCAGCAGCAGCAGCAGCAGCAGCAGCAGCATCGACGGGCATCCCCCGAGGCGTGACGACCGACTCGCTGGCCCAGGCGCAGTCTTTCGAGGTGGTGTCCACGAGCGGTAATTGGGTCGAGTTCAAGATCAGGTGCGTGGGCCCTCCTCGTTCCCCTCTTCGCTATCCTTCCTGTTCTTCCTCTCGTTCCCATCCTCGTTCTCGTCTCCTCCTCTCCTTCTCCTCCTCCTCCTCCTCCTCCTTCTCCTTCCCCCCCTCCGTTGCCATTTTGGCTCAAGAGGTGACAGGCCCCATTGAGTGTTGCAGCTCTCTTCAGAGAGCATTCTTGACGCCGAATTCGAGCGGACACCTTTCACCCATGCGGTGAGCTCACGTCCGAACCGTCACTCTCTTTTTCCCAAACATCCTGTGGTGTTGGGTCCTCGTTTTGAAGAGACGTCGCCCCGCGTTCTCCTCCTCTCCTCTCCTCTCCTCCTCACCCTCCTCCTCCCACTCCTCCCTCCTCCCCTTCTTCCCTGCGTTTCATCCACTCAGTACAGCGTTTCGTAGCCCCATAGGGAGCTCCACCGAAGGCCCCAGTGCCACCGTCCACATGCGTCCCCCCAACTCAGTACAGCGCTTCGTGGCCCCATAGGGAGCTCCACCGAAGGCCCCAGAGCCACCGTCCACATGCGTCCCCCCAACTCAGTACAGCGCTTCGTGGCCCCATAGGGAGCTCCACCGAAGGCCCCAGAGCCACCGTCCACATGCAGTACAGCGCTTCGTGGCCCCATAGGGAGCTCAGTACTCAGCGCTTCGTGGCCCCATAGGGTCCACTCCAGGCCCCAGTGCCACCCCCAGTGCCACCGTCCACATGCGTCCCCCCACCCCAGTACAGCGTTTCGTGGCCCATAGGGAGCTCCACCGAAGGGCACCGTGCCACTCCACATGCGTCACCCCACTCAGTACAGCGTTTCGTGGCCCCCTAGGGAGGTCCACGTAGGCCCCGTGCACCGTTCCACATGCGTCCCCCCCACTCAGTACAGCGTTTCGTGGCCCCATAAGGAGCTCCACCGAAGGCCCCAGTGCCACCGTCCACATGCGTCCCCCCACTCAGTACAGCGCTTCGTGGCCCCATAGGGAGCTCCACCGAAGGCCCCAGTGCCACCGTCCACATGCGTCCCCCCCACTCAGTACAGCGCTTCGTGGCCCCATAGGGAGCTCCACCGAAGGCCCCAGTGCCACCGTCCACATGCGTCCCCCCCACTCAGTACACGTTTCGTGGCCCCATAGGAGCTCCACCGAAGCCCCAGTGCCACCGTCCACATGCGTCCCCCCCACTCAGTACAGCGCTTCGTGGCCCCATAGGGAGCTCCACCGAAGGCCCCAGTGCCACCGTCCACATGCGTCCCCCCAACTCAGTACAGCGCTTCGTGGCCCCATAGGGAGCTCCACCGAAGGCCCCAGTGTCCACCGTCCACATGCGTCGTGGCCCCATAGGGAGCTCCGAAGGCCCCTGCCACCGTCCACATGCGTCCCCCCCACTCAGTACAGCGTTTCGTGGCCACATAGGGAGCTCCACCGAACCCCCCAGCCTCCCCCTCCCCCTCTCGCTCCTCTTCCTCCTCCTCCTCCTTTTCCTTCTCCTCCTCCTCCTCACTTCCCCCCTGGGCGCGCTGCCCGAGACAGGTGCGCGGACGGCAAGACCCTGCACGAGAAGAGCCTGTTCAAGGAGGACAAGAAGTGGGGCTACGTCTATTCCGGCGAGTCCGAGTTCGGCAGCTGGGAGTAGGCTGCCTCGTATTTCGGGGGAGGGGAAGCGGCACACCACCACCGAGCTTCCGCAGAGCCGTGTGGGGCGTGATCCCGGTATGCAGCTGGCGCGAGGTTTGAGGGGCAGCCCCAGCTTGAGAGGGGTACCCTCACGCTCTTCGTGATTGGACTCTCCGCCTCGTGGCAGCGCTCTGAGTCCATCCATGGGGCCTTGGACCTCCCGCGGCAGGGGGGTCATGCCCTTGACCCGCGTTGGTGTGGCCATGTTTCCACTGCGCGTCGGCCCCCACCCAGGCCAGGAGGCCAGACACACTAGGATCTGGCCAGATATGGGCCTGCGAAGGCGCCAGGCCACGAGGATTTTGAGCCCGGACGCCCGCAGACGACTTCTCCGCCGGCGTCGGACGGGCCCCGCCCCCCCCCACTGACACTTCGGGTCGGCAAGAGGAGGAGGAGGAGGAGGAGGAGGAGGAGGAGGAGGAGGAGGAGGAGGAGGAGGAGGAGGAGGAGGAGGAGGAGGAGGAGGAGGAGTGGAGGAGTAGGAGGAGGAGGATGAGGAGGAGGAGGAGGAGGAGGAGGAGGAGGCGAGTGAGGAGGAGAAGGCTGTGGGGGAGGAGGAGGAGGGAGGGAGGAGGAGAGGAGAGGAGGAGGAGGAGGAGGAGGGATGAGGAGGAAGGAGGAGAATTAGGAGGAGGAGGATGAGGCAGGAGGAGTAGTGAGGGGAGGAGGAGGGGAGGAGGAGGAGAGGATGAGGAGTGAGGAGCAGGAGGAGGAGGCCGGAGGGAGCGGAGGAGGAGGAGGAGGAGGAGGAGGAGGAGGAGGGAGGGGAGTGAGTAGCCAGAGGGAGGAGGAGAGGAGGAGGAGGAGTAGGAAGATGCAGGCCTGCGAGGAGGAGGGAGGTAGGGAGGAGGAGTAGGAGGATGAGGAGGAGGAGGATGAGGATGAGGAGGAGGAGGAGGAGGAGGAGCAGATCAGGAGCAGGAAACTGAGGAGGAGGAGGAGTAGGAGCATGAGGAGGATGAGGGGAGGGAAGAGGAGGAGGAGGATAGGGAGGAATAGGATGGAGAGTGAGGAGGGAAGGAGGAGAGGAGGAGTGAGGAAGAGGAGGAAGGAGGAGGAGGAGGAGGGGGAGGGGGAGTGTGAGGGGGAGGGGGATGAGCGGGGGTTTCGCAGGGGGGGGGAGGGGGAGGAGGAGGCAGAAGGCGACGGGGGCCTCTGGCCTTCTGAGCCGTCTTCGGTGTCCTCGGGGATGGCTCCGAGGACTTCGCAGGAGCTGGGGGGACTTCCGAGCCTTCTGAGAGGGCCCGCGCCTTCTCACTTCCTCGAGCCATTCTCCTCCGGCGCACCCCTCGGGCCCTGGCCCGGGGCCGTCAAGAGAACGGCTCTCTCGGGACGGGGAGCTGGCCCCCGAGGGGGTGGCCCAGGGGTCCAGGGCCCATCTTCGTCGGGGCCCCGCCCCCCACGGCGGTCGGCACCACATTTGCACCGCACCGCGGTTGGACCCTGCCCTCGGCCCTCCCCCTCCCCCTCCCTCCCCTCTCCAGCTCCCCCTCCTCCACCTCCCTCCTCCTCCCCTCCTCCTCCTCCTCCTCCTCCTCCTCCTCCTCCTCCTCCTCCTCCTCCTTCCGTAGCCATTTTGGCTCAAGTCCGTAGCGTGGCCCAGGCGTCAGCAGCGGACGGATCTTTCAGGCACTGGGGGCGCCCCAGAGGCGCAAGCGGCCCCAACAGCTCTTCCTCTGGCATTACCAGTCAGGGTGATTCGTGTACTCAACTTCCTCGGCGCGCTTTGCCGTGCAGGTGCCCGCCTGCGCGAGCTGTCCTTCACCACGGCTGGCTCATGGCGCTTCCTGCCAGGCAGGATGCTCGTCATTTCCAGAATGGTCACAAGAAGCAGCGGGTTGCATGGGCAAAGCCATGGTATTGTAAGCATTGCTGGTCACAGTCTACGGGCGATCGGTGGTGGAATCGTGCGGACCAAGACAAGTGCCAGTTGTGCAAGGAGCATAAGGGCACCGCCTTCGGCGGCACCAAGGAGGTCGTCGGACAGGTGCCAAGCAAGAGCGTCCGTGCTGCTGGCGGCGCGGGCGGTCATGAGGCGGAGATCAAGAAGAGGCGGGCAGAGCTGGCGAAGCTCAAGAGCCAGCAGCAGGCGCCAGGCAGCGGCGGGGTCGACGCCATGGAGATCGACGAGCTCGGTTTGGCAAGGGGCCCGACGAGGACCTCAAGCGTGAGTTGGCGGACGTGGGCTCCCACCTCGCGGCGCTGGAGAACGCGTCGTGTGCGGAGCTGGTCGAGGCCCGCGAGAAGCTCCGCGCGCGCCAGGGCGAGCTGCGCAAGCGGCTCGTGGCGGGCAAGAGCCTCGACACACGCCTCAAGGAGATCTCCTTCCAGCATCAGAAGCTGGAGAAGCGCAAGGCGAAGCAGGAGGAGCACCTCGTCGCGCTGCGGGAGAAGGTGCGCGCGGCCGAGGCGGCGGTCACCGAGGCGGCGCTGGGGCTTGACCGCCTCGTCGCCGAGCTCCTGGAGCTCGAGGAGGAACGCCGCCAGCTGGTCGCCCAGGTGCCGCGCCCGCAGGATGGTGAGAAGCCCTCGCTGTCGCAGGTGCTGCCAGTCGCGTCCGAAGAGATCACGGTGGACAAGCTGGGGGAGCTGCTCGCCGCCTTCGGCGGGTCGGGCGACCTTGCGACGAGGCTACATGGCTGCTTGGAGGAGGTGCGGGCGGCTGAGGCGGAGCGCCGTGCTGAGCAGCGGCGAAGGGCGGCAGAGGCGGCGGCGCAGCAGCAGGCACCGGGCCAAGGCCACGGTGGCGCGGCCGCCCCCGCAGCTGGCGTCGCGGCACCGGGCTCGCCGAGCTGGATCCCCAACGCCGACGGGGACCCCGAGGTGCTGCGGGCCTTCCTGCAATCGGTCAACGTGGAGGTGCCTGAGGACGAGGGCGAGCTGTGCGAGGCTGTCAAGAGGGCGGGTGAGTCCCTCTCCAGCTTTGCCAAGAAGTAGCGGTGCAGTGCATTGTCTGGTGTACCTCATCCTAGGCATGAGGATGCAGATCGTTACAGTGAATTCTTCTTCTCATGGTCCTGTGGCGGAGATGCTGGAGGCAGAGGAGCCGTGTCTTGGGGCAGGGGCCATGGTGTTTTGCTGCCAGGAGCACCATCTGCGGTGCGACAAGTTGGGCTCATTCCAGGCCAGGCTTGCAGCAGCAGGGTTTCATGGTGTGCGGTCGGCAGCAGAGGCAACAGAGAACCGAGGATCTCGAGGGGGGGTTGCGGTGCTGTGCCCTTCCAACGTGCAGGTCACGTGTCCGCCGCTGGCGATGTCGGGGGAACTCGTGCCTGCTAGAGCTGTGGCAGCCCACATTCATTCGAAGATGAAAGGCGGTTTCATTGCGATATCGGCATACCTGTGGGTGGACGAGCTGTTCGGGCCCAACAATATTCGGTTGTTAGCGGAAGTAGCCAGCTATATACATAGGGTGCAGGCTCTCAGACTTGACTGGGTGCTGGGTGCGGATTTCAATATGCGGCCTGCGCTGGTGAAGGCATGGGCGGCTTCCTTCGGCGGCGTAATTGTGGCCACCACGACTCCCGCGTGCACTCAGAGCATGCCAGGCACGGTGATCGACTTCTTTGTGATGAGTGCGAACATGGCTATTCGTACATCGGCACCCTAGGTTTGTATGACGGCCAATCTTTCACCTCACAGGCCAGTTTGTGTGCAGATGCAAGGGCCCGATGCGGTCCTGTGGGTGCGTGCGGCTAGGCAGCCGAGTGCGGTGCCAGTGACGGCGAAGCCTGGCTGCGCGCGCCCCCTAGGGACTGGACGGGCTACATCAACGAGGTGGGCAGAGCGACTGCCGCCGACGAGCTCGCAATCTTCTGGGATCGCATAGTGCGCGGTATCGATCAGGAGTTGTTGGACAGGCGCGACATCATGGGGCCGACGCGGAAGGAACATGAGGGTCGGGCAGGCCCACATGAGACGGTTTGGAAGCAGGTGAAGTCGGTGGTGCGCACTCGGTTGCCGAAGGCGGACGTAGAGCACACGGCGTGGGCGGTCGCAGCGCGATGGGCGCGGCAGATCAGGCGGGTCAACCAGGCCCTCGCAACCTACATCCCGAGGCTGAGCGAGGAGGGCGAGGTCCAGCAGCTGCACCTGCAGGAGAAGGTGGCACGCATCCTGCTTGAGGCGCAGGCGTTCGTGAGCAACGTCGCGAGGCAGAGGGCGACCCTGCAGGCACTGGACCATCTGACGCGCGCATTTTTCTCTCTGGCCTAGCGGCCCTCGGCGACCCTGCCACCGAAGATTTGATTCAGCGAATCCTGGGCCAGGCTGACTCTCACCAGGCCAGGTTCTTGGCGTTGAAGGAGGAGTTCTGGGAGGCCTGGATTGGGGGCAGTTTTTTGGGCGGGGCTCGGGAGGCTCATAGGTTTTCCAAGGTCCGAGGGATCCAGGAGACGATCGAGGCCACCGAGCGAGCGCAGCCGTTTCATTTGGCGGACGCGACGTGCTCGGATTGGGCCAAGATATGGTCGACTCGCGGATGTCGAGCGCCCGAGTTTCCGCCCGATTTCGATGATCGGCCGCCGTTTCCCGAGATTACGATTCCCGACATGCGAGCGGCGATTGCCAAATTTCCTCCCCGTGCAGCTGTCGGGTGCATGAGCATGCACCCGAGATCGTTGCAGTATTTGCCGGATCCCATAATGCGAGAGGGTCGGGCGCTGGCCAACGGGACGGCTGGTCAGTCGCCTGGTCAGGCTGGCCAAGCCAGACGGCGGCCATCGCCTGATCGCCCTCTTAGATACTTTGCTGCGGCTCTGGGGCCGCCTGCGCAGGGCAGAGACCATGAAATGGGAGCTCTCTGCCAGGTCGGCGTGTGAGGAGGGGCGGGTTCAGGCGTTCTGGGTACTGGGAGGGGGATGAGCTCAAGCGATTCAGCCTTTGATTTTAATCTAGCAGCGGAGATTGCGAAGGCAAGGTCTCATCATTGTGTCTCGTTGCTGCTAGACATGGTGAAGTGCTATGAGATGATTAAATTGTCGGTTTTGTTTCAGGTGTTTCGCCAGGTCCAGTTCCCGCTTAGGATGGGGTGGATGCTCATCCAGAGCTACATGGCCCCCAGGCGGGTCGACGCCTACGGGTCCTTCTCCGAGGCCTGTGTTAGTTTCCAAGGAACGTTGGCAGGCTGCTCGGCAGCGTCGTCGGTGATGCTGGCTGTTCTGCTTCAGCCTGTCCAATCCGTAGTTAAGCGACTCCCTTCGGTGCGGGCTCGAGCCCTCATGGATGACGTGTCCCGGCAGTGGGGCGGGCCCGACATAAACGAGCCCAAGGTGGTCTTAGCCGCGGCCCGTGAACTGTGCCGTGAAGTCTCG